TAAAAATGTACAAATGCAAAATATAAATGCATGTATGAAAAGGTGTTACTCAAGAGTGATCATCTTAGAACAGATTTCATTGAACGCAAAAGTTTCGTTACATCAAACAAAACTTTACATATAGGGATATATTTCATTCCTAACTTTTCCAAAGCCAAATTAGTCTATCAGCTTAAGGGACATATTGCTTGTCTGGACTGCAACTTCTTCCATGACATTCTCATTCATCTTCTGTGTCACTTCTCAGAGTTGCTCATTTTCCCTTGTAAGAGAACCTTTCTGTCCAAGAAGTTCTTGAACAAGATCTTCATATATGTTGCAGTTCTTTTTCAGCTTAGTGACCCCTGTGATCCACTCTTCTGGGGTGTTTCCTATGCCATTATTTTGAAAGGCTTGACTGATCTTCTGAAAATCTTCATGCATGGTTTTCATTTCTGTGCTCAATTTCTTGTTTTGGTCGTTCAAGTCCTTCAAATAACATGCTTGAGCTTCATAAAAACCTCCACTAATCTGAATGCCCTGACTGATGCTCTTACCATAGACTGCTTTTGGTATCAATCTGGTAGGATCTTTGTGTAATACTTTTGGTATTAATATAACAGGATCTCTTTGTGCTTTCCTTTCTTCTATCCTCGGAGTTTCCTCAGGATGTCTTTCTTTGGCCGCATCATATTTTGTTTGATCATAAAACTTTTTGTCCATTTACGATTTCTTTCCAATATGATGAACAGTCTTTCCAGTAAACACCTTTTGGTTATGCCATGATCATGCAATGCAAACAAAAGAAATCAATATGAACAGATTAGAGCAATGTAACATGCATGGAAAAATAAGAAAACAAAAATAGAATAATTAGTACCAATTAATGGAAAGAAAAATTCTATTTATCAAGGTATAAATCTTAACCTCATGCTTTCTAGTTTCATGCTTTGTTTGGAAAATTTAACTTAACCGCATGATTTCTAGTTCGCATGCATTTATTCAGGAAAAAGAAAAGGAAAAATAAATTAAAAGCTAAAACTTATTTCTCCTTTGTGTATACCTACTGACAAAATTTCGACATTGTTTCAGATCGAGAGAGTTTATAGGGTTTATTATATGCAGGTTTTCAGTTCTAGGAGTAAAGGTACTCGAACTGTCCTTGTTGATGCCCCCTTGGGTTGTCAACCCTCAATCCTAGTCCATTACAGACTTAAGCGGATCGAGTTCAATTCGAGGGGACACATTTCTCTATACCTGACACGGAGAATAAATTCTCACGAAGACATAGAGCATATGAACCCCGAAAGTTACTTGCTAGGTCTGACACGGAGAATAAATTCTCACGAAGACGTCGCTTTCACTCCCACTTAAAAGGGACAAACTCACTTATAGAGCTTTATGTTATGCAATGCAAGTGTTGTGTGTGAGGAGAAATGTTCAAACCTCTGACAGAAAAATAAATAATGAAATAAAATACTTGCAAATAAAATGAAATATTAATAAGAAAATATATATAAATACTATGAAAATAATAAGTATATAAAAAAATTGAAAAGAAAGAATTATAAATCAAATATATGAATTTTTAATTTATAATTAATAGAGACAATTTATAATTGATTTTAAAAGTTTGACTCATCCCCAGCGGAGTCGCCAAGCTGTCGTAACCGGTTTTCGTCCGGGCACGAATTTTTTTTTACTCGGCGGGAAAAGTGATGTGAATAAATGGTTTTAAAATAATTTGGGAGTCGCCATCGGCCTTTCGGGTCAGGTAGGTCGAATACCTAAAAATCATCCTTTAAAAGAGTTTTTAAGAAAACATCGATTAAAAGATAAACTGATCTGCGTTTTAACCAAAAATTCGTTCTTTTTGATAATAAAAAGGGATTCGTGGTCGGTTACGTTTAGGGAAGGATTAGCACCCCTACAACGCCCAAAATTGGTACTTTTTAATTAGAAAATGTCTCTATTATTAGAAATTAAAAATTCAAAATAAATTTAATTTATAATCCTATTATTTTAAGATTATAATTATGAAAAATATATATTAATATATTTATAAATAAAATATTTATTTATTTAGAAATATCAGAAAAAGACTTCTAGGTGCCTTAAGACAGCTCTTTTCTTTGATATTAAAAAATAAATAAATAATTAAAACAATTAATATATATAATTTATAAAATAAGATATTTATTTATTTAAAAATATCAGAAAATGGACATCCAGTTGTTTTAAGAATGCCCTTTCTTAATATTAAAAAAAATAAATATATTAAAATATGATTATTAAAAATAATTTATGAAATATAAGATTTTAACGAATAAACAATATTATTATTATATATATTTATTATATAAATAATAAGAATAATAATAAAAAGTAATAATAATAAAATAATATTGCAAATAATAATTAAAATAAAAGGAATTAAAAATATAGTATTAAAATATAAAATATTAAAAAAAAATCAAAAATGAAATTTTAATGATTAAAATGTAAAATTATAAAACTAGAGTACTAATTCGAAATATATAAAAGATGGGCATTAAAAGTGTAATTTAACCATAATTCATAATACGAGATTAAAATAATAATTAATAAACTATGAGGGACTAAATTTGATATTTTTCTAAATATATATATATGTTGATAAGGACTAAATTAAAATAAAATAAAATTAGAAGACTAAATTAAAATAATCAAAAATTGCTTTCAGTGACTAAATTGCAAGGTATACAAATTTGGAGCACTGCGGACGGGGTTTACCCTTTATGAAATTACAGAAATACCCTCCCCAAAACGGCGTCGTTTGGGAGAGGGTATTTAAATACCCGAAACGGCTGGCCCTTCGGGCCAGCTCTCTCATTTCTTCATTCCCTCTTCTCTCTCAAAAATGAGAGAGCCAGAATTTGTCTCTGGCTTCTGTCTAAAACGAGAGAAGACAGTCCCGGTCAGCCACCGCTGCCGGGCTCCGACCACCACTGTCGGCCACCATTAACGGTGGCCGAAAAATTCTAAAATACACAAAAAAATATAGATCAGGACGATCTAAAATCGATTCGGGTGTTCTTTTTTCCTAAAAAGCTCCCAATCGGAGCAAATCTACGAAAGTACCTTCGGGTTTTGGTTATTTCCGGCGACGTTTGGTATCTCGAGGGTAAGTTCTTCTCTTCTCTATTTTTATATTCGATTGTTGATGCTTGATGTGTTCTCGTTGCTTTTCTTACGTAGTTGTCTGGGATCGTTGGTGTAGTTCTTGCTCTTGTTTCTGTTTTTCTCCGGTTCTTCTCATCTTATTTTGCAGGTGTGGTGGCTTTTATAGCCACCACCAAGGCTTTCGTCGGACCGGTCCCTTAGGAGGCTTTCGGTGAGTCACCGAGCTATGTGGTGACTCACCCCAATAATTGCGACGTGTGGGGCGGCTGGCTCTTCCGGAAAGCTCAGTGAGGCAGCAAGCGTCGGCAGCAGATATTGGACCATCTGGCGGCGGCTGGGACGTGGCTCTCTAGAAGCAATGGCGGCGGCTGGGACGTGGCCCTAGGGTTATGATACCCTAGGGTTTTATCTGGAAAGCTGTGGACCGTTGGATCAAAACAGATCCAACGGCTGAGGTGGAGGCGGCTGCTGGTGATGATATAAACCCTAGATGGGTTTAGGGTTACTGTTGGGCCATCTGGGTTTGGTCTCTTGTAACTGGGCTCGTCTGGGTTGGGCCGGACTTGGCCTGTTTGTAATAATAATAATTATTTATTTAATAATAATAATATAATATAATAATTATAATAATAATATTAAAACAAAATAATAATAATAAATAAAACAAATGAAATAAAAAATTAGTATCTTCAGGTAAGATGGATTAGGGTAGTGTACTCCGACTTTGATGAGTTCACTGGGGATGATGAGTTTTTGGTGAGTTTGAAAGGCGACGAGTCATTTGATTATGTAGAAGGTTTCGTATTTTCCAACAATGATGACCCGATCAATGGCTGGCCATCCGTACCATTGGACCCGAACCATGGGTTCAACCCGAAGCTTATCCCTTCAACCGCTGGCTCAGTCCTCTACTGTCTCGAAGTGGCTTTCCATTACCGTTACAGTGACCAGCCATCGACCGTTGATATGGTAATGCACATATTTAATTTTAGGGTAAACTAAGTATTTAGTCGTAGAATTATCACTTTGATTTTGTTTTTGTCACTTAACTACTTTTTTTAAAATCATATCTAGCGTCATATTTTGATTATGTTTTGATCATCTACTGTTAAAAAATTAAACAAAACTGTTGATGTAATATTTTTTATTTCTTTAATGATGACATGTTAGTATCATCGTTAAGTTTTTTTTCGATGGATAACCAAAATAAAACTAAAACAGTATTTTATATATAATTTTAAAAAAATAATTTTATGACTAAACAAAATAAAGTTCAGAATTGACAAACTAAATATGTAGTTTACCTTTGATTTTATTTTTATTTTGGCATTTTTAATAATCTTCTGCATCAAGTAATACCATAACAAGATAGAACCTTAAACTGTCAAACGATTGATTTAAAAACTGACTGAAATCTTGACTTTTTAGTGGGTCCCAGTTAAAGCATTTGACCCGAACAAAAAAATGTTGGGTTCCTTTCATCAACCATGTCACGCGAACAATGAAAATAATGTCAAAGAAAACTCCTGGATTGCTTACACGTGTATGAACTCGGCGACGGACGATGGGCCTATTCTTGTCTCCATCATAACAAGAATAGAAGATTCACTAGAGGTATGATTTTATATTAGTATTAAAAAAATGAAATATCTGAACTGTAAGTTCTCTGGATTGAAATGACGTGATTGCCCCTAGCTCCCTCTTTATTTTACTGGGTTCTCTGTGCAGGCCGTTAGTGGACTTCTCGAACGGTTGGGTTTCGTGGAGGGTTTGAAGTTCCAGGTGGACCTGAGTAACGTAGAGTTTTTATTGCGTCTAAAGCGGGTGGAGGAACAAGCGAAGGCCGACGGTATTTGGGAAGGCCCACATCCATGGTTGAAACTCTTCATCTCCAAATCAGACATCTTTGATTTCGATCGGACGGTGTTTAAGAAGATGCTGAAAGATGGAACCGGTGGGCCCAAGCTGATCTACCCGCTCTTGCGAAGCAAGTGAGTATTCTCACCAACACATTCCATTTTTGTGGACCCTGCATTATATTCAAACACGTGTCATATTAGGTGTCAATCCCCTAGCCTTTTTCAACGAATATTGATCGGTTGCTTTCGAATGTGTTTTAAGATGGGATAATCGCACGTCAGTGGCGTTACCGGACAGTGAAATCTTCTACCTGGTGGCATTGCTCCGGTCGGTGCCGGCAGGGCCATTGGTCGAGAAATCGGTGGCACAAAACAATGAGATTGTTGAGTGGTGCATCAGACAGGGTTTGGATTCCAAACAATATTTCCCTCGTTACCAGTCCAAAGAGGACTGGAAACGACATTTTGGGAATCAATGGACGAGATTTGTGGAGAGGAAGACTAGTTTTGATCCCATGACTATCCTTGCACCAGGACAAAAAATCTTTAAAAGGACCCATCGATCTTAATTACTTGGAAAACAAACTATGGTTTCTATTGTTAATATCACATTTATCGCACACGGTATGCAACTTGTAATAAATATGGATGTAATAATTGAAAAAAGTTTTTTTTATTATCAAAAGGTTCGATAAGCATTTTATTAAAATAGTACAAACAAATAAAAAAGGAAATCCGAAAAAGTCAAGTAACTAAAGTTACAACCACACAAAAGATAAAACAATTCGTACATGGAAAATTAAAACACCGGACAAAAAATAAGATCTTAAAACATAACAAAGGAACCAAACTTCAATTGTGGTAAATATTTGCGATGGAAGAGTCGTGGCCAAAGAGGAAACATGTAAGGAGTCATTAACTGGACTAAGATGAATCCCAAGCGAAAAATAACAAAGCCATCAATAGCTCATGGTGAGTCAATGAGGCGACTGTCAATATTCCTTACTCTGTGGGTCATATCCGGTGCGTCTTCTATCCAAAAACCTTCATTGGTGTTCTTAAACCCCGTTGAAGCTACTGCATGTGTCGTTTGGTTTTCTTGTCGTCCGATGAAGGTGAAATACCAAGATTCAAGATGCTTTGCTAAGAATTTGGCATCTCCAATCATCAACCCAATTACCGATGAGTCACCTCGGTGTTTAGTTTTGAATGTTAGATTAAAGTCCATAATTGTGGACACATATGTATAATGAACAATATTATCATAAAGTATGACATAAAATTAAGTGATCAATTATATTATATGTGTCGTAGGTATTAAAGTGTCATGGTAAAGTGTAAATCATAAGTTGTATTTATAATTTGATGAGGGACAAAATTATAAATGCTTAATAGATTGACATAATATTCATTCTATACAAAGAGGTAACGGTCTCCATGAGATAGGTTAACTTATAATACTTTTATCATGTCAAAGAGTTTTTATGGCAAGAGAAAATCTATCATGAACACTAATCGCCGATATGAACGATTTTTCTCAGTATTTCGCAAAAATGACAATCGAACTGAACTTTTAGACTTGGCACCAAGTCTGTCCTTGTTTGATTACTTGTTTCTCCATTACAGATAAACCCTAAAACCATAGGGATCAAGAACATAATGAAAAGGTTCCTGGATTTCATTTTCCAAGTTTGTTTCACTTAAATTTCTCATTCTCCATTTAATCATTAAAAGATTGGGTAGAGGATTCTCAAGAAATAGATCCATTAAAAGATTATCAAAATCAATGGCACCATTGTTCGAAAATGGCAATAAAACATGTCCTGAGTTTCATTACTAGTTTCCCTATTAATCCCAAACAGATTCAATGGAGAATACTGCAAATTCATGGATTCAATGGTGCTCGGAAATGACAATAATGTGGGTTCCTAAATCTCATTTCCTAAAGTCAAGGGGCAACTTAAAACTTTGAAAAAATCAGAGGTTTAAGTTAATTTTTTTGAAAGGTTGAGTTTACATTTTAAAAAAATTTTAAGGTATAACTAATTTTTTTGAAATTTTAAAAGGTTCAATGAGAATTTTTAAAAATTATAGGATGGTTTTAATTAAGAACATTAAAAAATTAAGTTTAAAATGAATTTCTAAAAATTTTGAGGGGACAAATTAAAATTTTTGAAAATGTTAAGAATCAAAATTATAATTTTAGTATTTTTGCCTTAAAAAAAGTGAGGAAAAAGCTAGTTTAGGTACACTATTTTCTTTCTTTTTCACTCTTATTACAACGGTAAAACTCACTCATATTTATAGATTTTAGTGGTCATTGGATTGTTGACACATGTTAACATCTTAGTCATCTAACATTATAAATATATATATTCTTCTAATAGATAATTTTAGACATAATATTAAATAATACAAATATGTAGATTATTTTATAGATATATCTAGACATCTAATCTTTCTATATTAATCTAAAATATTCCCAAGATATATCTCCTAAATGATAATTATATATTTACCTATAAGTTGTATTTGATTTCAATAGCAATGTTCAATCAACCTTATCTTCAACTATTTAATCTTTTAGTTCCTAAATTTAATATGATCATGCCAAAATGTATTAAATACCTCATAAACTATCATATAACATGTTTAAAACAAAATATATGTCTCTAATCTAAGTATATAGCATATATATCCATCATGTCTCATAATAGACCATCATTAAAATGTATTTGTCTCTTTGTTTTGAAATTACATACTCATTCCTGTTTCATTCATGTCAATAATTTTGGCCATGCAACATTACTTATAGTTGTAGAAATTTGGGTGATAATTTTTACAGTTGTGTCAATAGGAAAGTTAGAGACGGTACGCTTTCTTTTTGTATATTTCACATGGAACTCCTCATTCTCCCTCGATGTTTTTTCTAGGTCATCCCTAAGCTTGCAAACTTCATCATTTGATGCCTTTTGGGCAAACCTAGCATGTATTTCAGCCTTATTACATGTCACTCGCTCCTATCAATTAATTCAGGTACACTTTCGTGTCTAATGTTTTATTCTCGATGATTTGACATGATTAAATCCTGGTTAATTTTCATATTTATTATGATTTGATTCTAACATCGAAATGGTAGTTCACCAATAATTGAAAAGGTTTTAACTATAATAGAAAAGTTGATATATTCAACAAAATAGACAAAATGACAGAAAACACTGAAAATAACTGCATGCATTCAAATCTTTAAAAAAATGTGATTTCATTAATTTTTTTTATATATTAATATAGAGTGATTATAAGATATTATTTGTTCAAAGACTCTCAATTATTTGACAATGAATGTGTAGATACTCATTTTATATGGGATTCCATTCAAATTTCATTTGTGTTTATATATAGTTTGTGTATGTTATATAGGTATATATTATTATTATTATTATTATTATTATTATTATTATTATTATTATTATTATTATTATTATTATTATTATTATTATTATTAGTGATGTTCATATGTTATATTATTATTATTATTAATTATATGAGTTAATGATTAGTTACTATATTTAAAGGGATCTCAAATTAAACTAAACTCGAACTTGTAAATTTAATTGCAAAGACAACTATTAATCAACTAGGTATCGATTTAGGGCGTTGTACGGATGCTAATACTTCCTCATGTGTAATCGACTCTCAAACTTAATTCTTTGGAATGTAGACATATAAATGTTGTTTTAATAAATTTCAAATTAATATTTTTATTAAAATGACAACTGTTTTAGGTGCCCAATCACACCCTAATCAAATATTGGTGGTGACTCCTCGAACCATTTTTTTTATTTATTAAAGGAAATACCAAATTAATCGAGAAGAGATTTTTTAAATCACAATTTAATTAAATTTTCTAAAGAAATCGTTTCGACAGAATATTTAATATCCTTATAGATGATGTGATCAAATTTGAGGTCTCTAAAGATAATAATCATCCATATCCCTTCATTATTGAAGTTGCTTTGTTTGAATTTGATTTCACTCATTTTGATGCAACATGTTGCACAAGCTACTTAAAAGCTAAGATTAATTTAAGTGGATTAAAGACTAAAAGTTAAAACTTTATTCTTTCATCACATCATACACTCACATTTTTATATGTTGTAAAAAAAAAGTATATTGTAAAATCTTAAACTCGATCCACACGAATTAATTGGATCTAAAATACCACATAGGCCCATCGAAGCTACCCCGATCTATACCATCTTTTAAAACAATCAATAAGGGTATGTTTGTTTGCCGTAATTAGAATTACAAAATTGGTTTTTTCCGAATTCTCGTGTTTGTTTCATGTAATTCGTTTTTCGGAAAATGTTTTCCCGTATTTGTTTCACGTAATTCATTTTCCGGAAAATGTTTTCCCGTATTTGTTTCACGTAATTGGTTTTCCGGAATGTAATTCATTTTCCTAGTAACAGAATTTCCTTTGTGTTTTCTGTAAAATGACTTACGGATTCATTTTCCGTAAGTCATTTTCCGAACTTTTCACTTAAAAGAATAAATACTCAAAATAATTTTATTTTATGAATTTAATATTAATAAAATATTTTAATATCATTTTCATCAAAATATTATTTATTTATTAATATTTATAATAATATAATATTATATTTTTAATATTATATAAAATAATCAATTATATTATAATAATATAAGATATTATATTTTTATTTTAATAATATATAATAATTTTTTTTATATTTAATAATGAATAGTATTTTTTATATATTTTAATAATATTTTAATAAAGATATTTAAAATATACTAATTAATATTTTTAAAATATAATATAACACTATTACTTTAATAAATAACTAATATAATTTATAATATTTTATTTGACTAAAATATACAAATTTTATTATTTTTATTAATAAAATTATAAAATAATATTTAATAATAAATAAATTATTTTAATATTTTAAAATAATAATATTAAGTTTTATGATAAATAATATTATTTATTATATTTAATATTTGTAATAAATAATTTTTAAAAAACTCTTCAACTAGTGGAAAAAATGTTTAAATAACATCTTCCAAACATCATAAAACGTTTTCCAAATGTTTTTTAGAAAAATAATTAAGTTGGTATTTGATTGACTTCTTATATCAACTCAATTAGAGTTACTGTATGAAAATATATGGTAATCAGATGTTTTATATGAAAATAATTGTAATACCTAAATTTACTCATAATTCTTCTTAAATCCTTAAATAAAATATTATTGTATATCATACACACTTTATCTATAATCTTCAAAATATTACAATAACAATAATATCAACTAAACTAAAACTCAATTAAAAATTATATAATTTTTTAATCCAAACATACAAATTAAAGTACTAATATAAAAAACGTCTGAAAGTGATATCTTATAATTATAATTCTCATACATGAATTACTTTAATAGTTAAAATAAGTGTTGTTATCTCTTAAAGTCCTAGGTTCGAATAGCAACATTTATAGGGTATGGGAGTGTTGTCACTAGTTAAAAAAGACAAACCAACATCAAACGTTGATTGTTAGACTATTAACAATCTCCATTTAAAAATAGATCATTTTGATAAAAATAAAATAAAACGATGAAGACTAAAGT